TCTTGATTCTTCTTTGTCATTTATCATGTGACAATTCTCCCAGCGGAGGTGAGACACAAAGCAGGAGCTGTCCTGTCTCAGGGGACAACTGTACAGCAGAGCACAGGGTGTTTCCAAGACTCTACATTTTGCTGTTTTTTAATACAAAATCCCGTAGCAGGTCTTTGTACTGCCTGCTCCCAGATAATGACACGGAGACTTATTAATTAGGCTTATTCCCAACTAGGTCTTATAACTTAATTAACCCCTTTATACTAATCTACATTCTACCTCTGCTCAGTACCTCATCAGTGCATCCCACTTCCTCTGTGGCGAATCCAGCTTCTCTTCTTCCCAGAGATCCTATCTCTTCCTGGAAGTCCTGCCCATCCTCTCCTTCCTAGCTATGGGCCGCCGTTCAGTTCTTCATTAACCCAACCAGAAGGTGCCTTGGCAGAGACACATCTTCACAGTGTACAGAAAGATTATCTCACAACAAAATCCCTGTGAATGTATATGCCCAACTCATTTCTAGTGGTACAAATGAGGAAATAGATGACGTCTCTGGCAGTCTAGGATAAAGCAGAGGAAAATAGGAAGGTAGAAAGAAGTGACCAAGTTACATTCACACAGCTGAACTGTAGCCGACCTTCTCACCACACCCCTTCTTTTTCTTTTTCTTTTTCTTTTTCTTTTTCTTTTTCTTTTTCTTTTTCTTTTTCTTTTGTTTTTCGAGACAGAGTTTCACTGTGTAGCTCTGGCTGTCCTGGAACCCCATTTGTAGACCAGGCTGGCCTTGAACTACAGACATCCGCCTGCCTCTGCCTGCATGCGCCACCACCGCCCAGCTCAACCACACCCCTTTCTGAGGGGGCTCGAATGATGACCCAGAGCATTGAACCCAAGAAGGAGAGAAGACTGACTACCAAAGGGTGAAGGGAAAGTATAGAGATTTATTATTACTTAATGCTTCCTTGTCAAAAGGAAAGGCGCACTAAAGAGAGAGCCGATCTTACCACCTCTGTGCCTTAGCGTTCTGACACCTGGGCCAGCGGATGGCTCAGAGATTGAGCACTTGCTCTTCCAGGGGACCTGAGTCCACTCAGCACCCATGTCAGGTTGCTTACAGCTCCAGGGGACCCAATGCCCTCTTCTGGCCACTGTGTACTCATCATATACATGTGGCGCACATACAAGCACACACATCATATTTTAAAATATTAAAAAAGAATTCTGTAGAGAAACTCTGTCTTGAAAAACCAAAAAAAAGAAAAAATTCTGAATCATATATTAATTTATAGAGATAATATATTCTGTGCTGATGCAAAATATAGTCACAGCTCTTACCACAAAGACAATAAAAGATTGAGAGGATTTTTTGTGTGTGTGTGTGTTGTTTTGTCTTTGGTGTTTGTTATTTTAGATAGGGTCTTGGCCCAAACTGGCCTAGATTCACAATGTAACCCAGGCTAGCCTGAAACTCTTGGATATTCTGCCTCAGCCTTTCAAGTACTGGAATTATAGATGTGAGCCACCAGGCCTGATTATACTATACTGTTTATAGAGAATAATGAGAAAATAAAAAAATTTAAGAAAAAACAAACATATACAGACAAAAAATATAAGAATATGTACTTTAAATTAGTGTGGAGCACGGGGGAGGGTGTATATCTCAGTACCATGTCACAGCACGTGGGCAGAGGACAGAGCACAATTCTGGAGTCGGTTCTCTCCTTTCACTTTTACGTGGCTTCCAGGAATTGACCTATTGACCTTAGGTAGTCATGTTTGAGTGGCAAGGGTCTTTACCCACTTAGCCATCTTGCCAAAGAATATGATTTTTTTGATCTGTGGTCAGGTGAATCCATGGATGTGGAATCTGTAGATACAGTAGGCTGACTATATTTAATGTTCTAAAGAATGTAAAATCTATCTCATTAATTTAATAAACATCATTTACAAATATAAACATCAAGATTTTAAGTGAATACTGCCAGCAGCCCTTAGCTGTGTCGGAGGGGCAGCGGGCGGCAATTGAAGTTCAGGTGTCAGCCCACCAGAAGGAACTCTCTGATGGGCGTGTCTTGTTTAAGCAAGGCTTGTGAGGATACAGACTCCAGAATGCGTTTTGCTTCTGTTGTGACTCTGCATGCTTGCTGCTACAGTGTATACGGTATGGGGGGTCCCCCACTACCTGTATTATAGTGTGTCTATCTCATGATTACATCTCCATCTACTGGGCATTCAATTCTGTGGATTGTCAGAAAGGTGATTTCTCCTTAAGCTGTCTCTTTCAAATTCATGGCCTATTTCCCAATAACTGTTATTACATACATACATGAATGGCCTATCTACTGACACAGAGTTTTGATGAATATAATAATACTAGGATATGTTTCATAACTAAGGCCTATTGTTCCACAAGGACTGTGAGACACTTAGGACCTGCTTTAGATCACAGCTCAGGTTGACATAGGAAAACAGTTGGATTTCCCAAGCTGCCAAGATAGCTGTATACTATTAGCTGATATAGAGCTTCAAAAGAGCTTTAGATTAGACCAGGTGCCTTGCTAATGGTTTTTTAGATAAATGTTTCCAATTTTTAATTCACAAGGACAGCTGTACTGTCTAGCTAGGCTGTAAATACTAAGACAGCCCAGTTATTGCTAGCTGGCTAATAAATAAGTCCTTGTACCTATTCCTGATCTCAATTTGTGAAAATAAATTCTGACTAGTCAAGGCTACAGAAAAAAAAATGGACTCTATACCCCCAAATGAGGACTGCAGGTGTTCTTGGATAATTAGAACTCATATTGCCTGAAAAAGTTAGTCGGGATATATAAACTGTAAAAAGACATGACAGGACAGAGCAATGTAGGGGAGCAACGAGAAATAATAAAGAAGTGAAACCATCAAGAGAGAGTGTGTCAGATTACTTTTCCCTAACCCCCTCAGATAACAAAGTCTTAGTTTGCACTACACTGTGGACTTTCCCTTTGAGCCCTGTCTGCAGCCAGGAAGCTGGTTCTTCAAGGGTTGTGACAAAATACTGCAAATTAAATCAGCTGTGTATTAACGGAATAATTCATCATGACCAAATAAAAACTGAGGTATAAAGATGAAATAATAACAAGAAATATGTTCATATATATGTTCCTTGGATCCCACCTGGTGGAAAAAGAGAACCAACTCCCACAAGCTGTCCCCTGTGAGACATGGCACACTTGCACCCACACACAAGTTAAGTGTAAAAATTACATTTACAATTTATAAAATTAAGGACTTGGAGCAAAATATAATATGAGAGGATTCTTCTGATCTTCCTGCCTTCGCCTCCCAGGTACTGTAATTGGGATTGGATTTTTTGAAATAGGAGAGAGACCTGAGGAATGAAGTGAGGCTGTGGAACAAGAGGAGTCTATTGCTTGTCTGGAGATAGAGGAGCATACAGCAAAGCCAGAATGGTCTCTTCCTTCATGGAAAAAAAAAGTGTTTTCCCATCAAGACTCTGGTAAGTAGAAACTGCAGAGATAAACAAAACCAGGTTGTGTACTGAAGTGTCGTTTGTGGCCAAAGTAACAGCCCTTTGCCATTTACCTTACCTACACTGCAAAGCTTGGCTTGGCTTCGGCAGCAGTACAGCCCCTTGACTAAGCCGATTACAGCCTTGCTCCCCTTGGCCAGTAACTAGTCTAGTGTGGGAGTTTGACCCCCGTCTTTGCCATAGAGAAACAGTCGATGGATGTGGAAAATTTTCTGATAAATAGTTCTTATCCATTAAAGCCATAGGTGATAAAAGGGAAGTCACTGTGGCTCATGTCACCTTTCTTCATGTTTTGAAGACTGAAGGTCTGTGGACATGGCTGCATCACCCACGATATAGATCTTTCTCTCAGCCAACCTGTCTTCCTCCTGCAAGCCTTTCTCCCACATTCTCAAGCACTCCTTGCTTGAGTAAACTCCGGGGCATAGGAATCTCTCCCTCAGCTTAGTTCTCTGCCTGCAGATCTCAAGATCTCTGCTGGGGCAGGGGGAGGGGAGGGGCTTCCGGCAAGAGCTGCACTTGCTTGGGTGCTGGGAAGTCATTATGATCTGTGCACAAGGCAACTGGGATGTCCACTTTAGTTAGCATCAGGGCCTTTAAGGACATTATCCCCCAAGCTAACCTGTTTCTATCACCATTTTGGGGATTCTTGTGATGATACCCCCAGAGCAGGACCAACTTTAGATCTCTCCATTCATACATTCCCTCACCAAACCTAACCCCTGACGTCCTTCCCAGGCTACAGCATTCCTGCCTTCCTAATAAAAATCCCAGTCAGTCCTGGCTCTGGATCTGTCCTCATGAGGGAAGACCTCAGTGGTAAGCTGCATTAATCAAGGTACCCGTCGACCCTCCCCATGACACACACAGCACCACAGGAATACTTTACATCCCCACCCCAAATTTTTGCTCAGGAGGAGCCACGTGACTTGCTCTGGCCACCGAAATGTAGGCAGAAATGACTGGCACTTGTGAGTAGAGACTCAGAGGCAGGCCGGGGCTGTCTCTGCTCCTTCTGTGAGGACACGGGGAAGGGACCTGGAGTGAAGATGTGTGAGAAGAACCACGGCTGCTGCAGTGGATGAGTGACACAAACCTGACTGGCTTCCATGCACTCAGCCTGAGTAATCAGTTAATAATTTAGTAAGTTAATCCAGTCCTCATCGGGAGCCGCTCCAGACCCACACTCCAGAATCATCTACCCCCAAATGTACCCTGGAGCTGGAACATGAGGCCAAAGGAACAGACCTGCCTGGTTCTGTCTTGGCAGGCCTGAAGCTGGAGTCTGCACCTGATTCTGCCACTGCCTGCCCTCTGGCTGTGCCTGGGTGTTCAGTACAGCTGTTTTACTCTCCCAGAGGCCTTGGCTTAGGATGATGCCATCCAGAACCTCTCACCATCCAGTAAAGACACAACTCACTTGAGGGTGAGAAACAGTTTCAATCTGAATGTCCACATTACCCGGAAATACACATGATCATATAAAATGACTTTTATTAAAATAGAAAAGCTTTCTAGTGTATTGCTGTAAACTATATATAGAATACATATATAGCATATTGTGGTAGACGATATGTAGAATGTATATACAGTATAGTCTAGTATGCTGACATGTAGACAGAAATTGGCAATTCCAACAGAGGCCACATTAACATCAGCACGGAGACTCTCTGAAAGCTTTAAGTGCCCACTTTTCAACAACATTTTGGTATAATAAGCATATTGCTATATTTCAGAGAGTACATGTAACACTGAAAAATACTTCATGTAAAATCTAAGTTCAGGTGCATACAAACAAGAAGTATTACATTAATAGCTTATTTCAAACTGTGAAACATTCAAAGTATCCAATTTCTTAGACAACATGCAAACATTTTAATACTTAGCCTGACATTTTAAATATATAAACCACATTCTTTATAATTCTATATAAAAAGAAAGACAGACACTTATCCATACTGTGCACATCACAAAAAGCAAATGTGTCTTCATGAACGGAAAGTATGGGGCTAACACATATGATTGTCATTTTACAAATATGGCTATTCACCTTCTTCACAATAAAATTAAAAAAATCATGTACTATTTACATGAACTACTAATTATCTTATTTTTTGGCAATTATATAGTAGCAGCAACTGGTTTAAATCTGATATTTAAACTCTGAACTTGGTGAGTCCTGATGAGTGTATCTGGCTAATAAACTGCGTGACACAAGATGCTGGGATGCAGGGGACTGCCCCCATTCCCAGGCACAAACCGGCAGGACTGAGAGGACCACTCGCAAGACAAGTGCATGAGTGTCACTTGGTCAGCTGGGCCTTTGCTAAGCACATTGGAGCCCTGTCTCAAATGTCTATGGAGTCAGCCTGTGATCATTTCGAAGAAGCTTTCTCTCCTTCCACGTCGTCCATCACAGCAGTGGCTCTGCACTGAGCCCTCAGCTTCCAGACACAGGAACAAGACACTGGCAACCTCAACACTTAGAGGAACTCGGAAGATATTAGGACACGGACCCGACAGCAAAGGGGCCTCCTTCTATAAAGTGACCGTCTCATAGGTCAGTGACGGTAAATTCGCTTTGGAGAAGGGGCCTTCTCTACTGAGCAAAATGTAAACTGTGGCCCCGTGGCCTACCAGCAAGAGATCTCCACTACACTGGGAGAGCCTAGTTTATCATTTTAAAATCAAGGCAAAACCCCCTAATATTGGCAGATTAAAAAAATACTGTGTGGTGCTCAGAGGTGACACACGCTTTTGCTCGGCCACCAGCTAGCAGTCCTGAACGTCTTTCACAAGGTCGGACAGCCGAGTCATGGGATACTTTGCGGTTTCTGTGAACACTCAGAGACGAGTCCAGAGCAAGTGTGCGGCGAGGCCCAGGCTGAAGAGGAGCAGGGATTGGCAGGGAGGCCTGGCCCCATCAGCAGAGGATGGGAGGCTTCTGGAGACTTGCACCTGGGAAATGATGAGGGCAGAGAGAGGGACATGGGATGCCAGAGTGGGGCTGTCCGAGTTGATGAGAGACTCAATTTTCTCTGCTTCCTTATTGCAGGCTTCAATCTGCAAGGGAAAGATCCTTTCAATAGAAAATCTCAGAACCTTGAGACGCTCCAGTCAAGCAAATTCCAGGCACATGTCCCAGGCGGAATGGCCACAGAGGCAGCTTACTTCCCTCTGCCCTTCCTGTATAGTCAGTTACAGTTACAGGTCTTATTCCGCACACAGAAGAGCATTAATGGAAAGCAGAAACTCCACGTCAACTACCCTAGTCAGTCAACCATTTTTGGTTTCGCACAATACCATACACCATACACTGCCTATCTCCCTAGAGACAGTGATCACAGTCAGTTAGACAGTCATAGGGAATGCTTTTACTTCTGCTCTAAGGTGAGGATGGAAACAGGTTTGGAACGAGGCAGCTGGAACTGCTTCTGTTCACCCCTTCCACGAGTCCTCACTACTTTCTTGTGAAACTTGGGCCCAGAGTGAGGTTCCAGGAACTCCTGATCTGCGAGGAAGAAAGACTTAGGGTCTTGAGACTGACCCTGAAGGGTCCTCCTCCAGTGAGACCGGAGGCTTCGGCTCGGTCACTGCCTTGCCCCTGCCAGTGTCTGGCTCCTCATCTGCACAATGGCGGGCTGGACTTAGTGTGCCCAGCCTCAGCCCCCCAGAACAGACTCTTTCCTCCTGCCCTTTCCAACTTCAAAAGTGGTCCTGTTTCCTCTCCCTTCCGTCCTTTCCCACCCCCACTCTAAGTCCATCAAACTCTAAAGGGTGAGATGGCTGCATAGTGAGTGTGTGCCGGACCCCACCTGCAAAGCTTTTGGGTGATGGTCAACAGGAATAATGAGGATCACAATTTCCGATTCGATGCTCAGGTATCCAAACACATCACACTGTGGGACAGACACGTGCATGCGGACCTTCTGCAGGATCTCCAGAACTGTCACCGGCTTCTTGTTCGTCACCTAGGAGACATTTCCAGGGACTGAAGGGGACCCCTCCTGCTGCCCAGGTCACTCTGCTTCAGCTGCAGCTCACTGACCGGTGCTCAGCACCAGGTCTGGCTCTGCCGCTCAAATCCTGTCGCCCAGGGTCCAGTGCAATGGGGTTGGGCCATCCGTAGAGGTTTGCAGCCAAATTAACCCCACCAGAGTACTTGGGTTTGAGCAGGGTCTTGCTACAGAGACCAGGCTAGCTTTTTCTTTCTATTTATCTATCTATTTATTTGTTTGTCTGTCTGTCTATCATCTATCTATCTATCTATCTATCTATCTATCTATCTATTTTGATTTTTCAAGACAGGGTTTCTCTGTGTAGCTTTGGAGCCTGTCCTGGAACTCGCTCTGTAGACCAGGCTGGCCTCAAACTCAGATCTGCCTGGCTCTGCCTCCTGAGTGCTGGGATTAAAGGTGTGCTACCATCACCTGGCTCAGGCTAGCTTAAACTCTGACCCTCTTGCCTCAGCCTTGCTAGCTCCATGGTAATCCTGTACGAGCATACCCAGTTCAGAAGTGCTGTTTATTTATTTAAGTTCTTTCTGTGTTTGAAAATAGGGTCCAAATCAAGGATGGCCTTGAACTCTCTATGTATATGAAGATAACCTTGAAACTGCTCGTCCTCCTGCCTCTACCTCCAAGAGCTAGGATATAGGCCTGCATGCTCCACCTATCTACTTATGTAGTGTGTGTGTGTGTTATGCACAAGCCAGAGGTCAATCCTAGATGTCATTCCTCAAGAGCTATTTTTACCTCCTTTTTAAAAAGTATTTATGCCAGTGGTGGTGGTGCACACCTTTGATCCCAGCACTCAGGAGGCAGAGGCAATTGGATCTACATGAGTTCCAGAACAGCCAGGGCTACACAGATAAACTGTCTCAAAAATTGTTTTTAATTATATGTACATATATCTTGTATGTATACATGTACATGTGTACAGGTACCAGGGAGGCTGGAGTTAAAGGTGTTGTAAGCTGCCTGAGGTGCTGGGAACCGAATTTGAGTCTTTTGAAAGAGTAATAAGTGCGAGAGCACTTAACCACTGAGCCATCTCACCTAGTTTTTCTAAGACAAGGTCTTTCATTGGCCAGGAGCTTGCCAAGGACCTGAGTCTGAATCACAGAACTCACGTAAAAGTGTAAAAATTCTGCAAGTGGTGGGACATACTTTCGATCTCCACTGAGGAGGCAGAACTAGGAAGACCCCTGGGGCTTGCCTGCCAGGCAGTCGGCTGAATAAGAGAGATCCAGGTTGCGTGAGAGCTCCTGTCTCTAAACACAAGGCGGAAGTGACGGAGGAAAGCATCCAGCCGAGCTCTCTCCAGCCCCAGAAGCACTTCTCAAAAAGCAACTGCTCTGAACTGGAGGGCACAGGGAAGAGAAGTCCTGGGGAAACAGGTGTCTAAACAGACAGGACGGACTCTCTAGGTAGTGGCAAGTTCATCCCTAGAGTCCTGGCTCCCCAAAAGGGAGCAGTGGGGAAAGGGAAAGGGAGGACGGACGGGGAGACAGCTCCCCAGGGGGATGGATGAGGATGGGTGCAGAGACCATCTGGATTTCTACTATGGCTGGTCACCTGGCCCTGAGCATGCAAGGTGGATTCCTAAGAAAGGGCCTGCAGGGAGGAGCACAGGTCAGGGGTCAGCCACCCTGGGGGTCAACCCTTGCTCTACTGATTATGAACTGTACGGCCTTGATGGAGTCTAGGGGCCAGGTTCTTTATACACAGGGACAATACATTTTGCTCTCCAGGATTCCTGAGAAGTTTAGCAAGGTGCTTTCAACAGTACCTAGCATACGAAGCAAATTACCTTAGCAATAGTGTCCAGCTTTTCTTTGTCAAATAAAACCCGTAACATCCCAGCACACAATGGGCAACAAGCACCTGGAACAGAAACCATTTTTGTGAGTTCGGAATTAAAACAAGAAGAATCCAAAATGACTGGCGAAGTGGCCAGCTTCACTACGGCCATCACCTGTCCTTACTGATGATTCTAACTCCAGCTGTGCTCGATGACCAACCCAGGATCCTAACATCTGTGTTTATGGAAGTCATTCTTCCATCCCGACACCCTCCTCTGGTGATGCTCAGCGTGAGGAGGCTGTGGAGTCACGGCACGCCAACTGCCCACTTCTTATCTCATGCTCTGATCCTGCCCAGCAGCTTGTGCTGGCCTCTGTTTTTCTGTCTGCACAGGGAGCTTTGGATGTTCTGAGTGCTTGCTTCTCACGTGATTTCCAAACTACCCTAATCTATTTAAACACCATACATAGCAAGGGATGCGACAGTCAAATCGTATGCCACATTTAACAGAGTTCATCACCCAGTTCACCAGCAGCCTTTCCACCAGGCCCTCACCAGCTCTTCACTCGGCTTCACCAGGCAGTTTTGACTTGACAGTTTGGTCTGCAGGGAACCTATGTCCCCTCCCTTGGAGTGTGGTCTCCAGGAGGGAAGAGGCTTCATTTTGTTCACTGCTGGGTCCCTGGTGCTTAGAAGAATGTTCTGACACAGTGGAGGATCAGTGATCCTTGGTGAGCTACAGATGGAGACTCGGAAGGCCCAGGGTAGCCTGGAGGAGCAGGCTTGGAATGAAAGCTCTTCCTCTGCCTGTCTCACTGATGAGCGTGAGTGTAACCCACACGACCACAAACACTGATGCTTACAGCTGTCTGTGTGAACAAAGCCTTCTGGCTACACAACTAAGTCAACTCTCCCTGCTTCTCTCAGTTAAAAATGTTTGTGTTCATCAAAATACTTCAACTATCCATTCAACTACTAATTAATTGTTCAGATACTTTAAAATAAGTAAGTATATGCATTTAATCCAGCAATCCTAATTTTTTAAATTTAAATACTACTTTACTTGCTTATTTATTGATGCCTGATGGAAAATTGTGATTGAAAAAAGTTGACATGGTATTGTTTTTCTTTCTTTCTTTCTTTCCTTTTTTTTTTTTTTTTTTTTTTTTTTTTTAAAGACAGGGTTTCTCTGTGTTACAGCTCTGGCTATCCTGGTACTCACTTTGTAGACTAGGCTGGCCTTGAACACAGGTCTGCCTGCCTCTGCCTTCCGAGTGCTGGGATTAAAGGCATGTACCACCACCGCCCGGCTTTGCTTATCTTTTTAATTTTAAAATTAGATCTGTTCATTTTATTTTGTGAGTGTTTTGCCTGTATGCATGTATGTGCACAATGTGCGCACCTGGTGCCAGAGGAGGTCAGAAGAAGACACAGGATCCCCTAGAACTGGAGTTACAGATGGCTGTGAGCCACTGTACTGGCACTAGGAATTGAACCCAGGTCCCTCTGAGGCAGCTCTCTAGCCACTGCCATGCTCTTTGGAAGTCAGCAGAGTAAACGCTAAGGCAAGCCACAGCTTTGAGTTAGCTCAGAATAACTGCATGTGGGTCTCTTGAACTTTCTACTTTTTTTGGCTAGAATCTTATACTGTATCCCAGGGTGCCTGTATCCCAGGCAATCTTCCTGTCTCAGCCCTGAGTGCTGGGATCACACTGTTTCAGGGTCTCTCTTCTCAAGGGCTCGTGTTCCGCCCCACCCCTGCCTACCCCACAGACCTCCAGCTTACCGGGTGGAATGATGGGCTTGCAGCCGAGAGCCGAGAGGGAAGGGCACTTCACAGCAGCACACTCGGCCGCCGCCGCCCCGGCACTGGGTTCAGAGAGGACCCCGACAGCCTGGCAGGGCCCATGGTAGTCGACTGCCACCCGATCCGAGTAGGCAGCACACACACTGCTGTACGTCTCACCATTGTGCCCACAGACAGGCTCTCTGGCTCTGCAGAAGGGCTGAGGACAAACAAACACCTTTTAGCCTGCAAACTTCTATGGTATGTCTTTTTAATGTGAGCACAGAGCTCATCTCCCTGTTTTGAGGAAGTGAAAAGACACAGGTGTAAGTTGTGGGGATCTTTCAAAGCCCTTGCGGTGGACTAGTAATGGGCTGTCGTCTCGAGTGGAAAAGCCTTTGAAACGTGGGTGCTCATTGTGAAACAGATACAAGATAAAAATGTCCCCTTGGTACTCCTTCACCCAGACTTCTCTCAGTAGTCACGAAGGTCTGAATAAAAAGATCGCTCTTCATGAAAAAGTGGAGACCTTACCATTTCATGCTGGGTGGGGGAAAAGGGGAGCTGGGCAGAGAGATGAGCGAGCGGAGCAGACCTACTCTGTACTATTAGGCAGTTAGGAGTATACCTGGGAAACACCCTAGCTGGGAAGAGCGAGCAAGGACGGAGAGAAGGGGGAGGTTAGAGCAGATGGTGTCCCTGTAGGTGGGACACCAGCTCCAAGAGAAAACAGTAGCCAGACCAGCTGAAGGGACCATCCCCACCATGGACAGAGCATGCCAATGCTGGTGGCCTGCAGGCAGGTGATGCTGGACCCAAAGATGGGAATCCCCCAGCAGAGGTCAGCACAGGATCATGGAGGCCGGTGGGACGCTCCAAGGAGGCTGTCCATAAGGTCAGAAGCCTAAAAGACTGAGGCAGGCCTATGTAAAAGAGTCTTAGAGATTTTCATCTCCCTTCAACACAGTGGGCGGTGAAGGGGGAGGGGGAGGGGGAGGGGGAGACAAGTGGTGAGGCCGCTTTTCTTCCTGATTGTTTTCTAGGGCAGCCCACAGAACTGTGGACAGTGAATGGTGGTGAGCACACCGGCTGGGAAGCTTGAAGTCTTTTCCTAGGAGTGACTTGAGGCCAGGGTCCACGTGCTTTTGCACAGCACTCCGGTGTCAGCAGAGGACTTGTCTGCTTGTCTGGAGAAGATCAGAAGCTGACTTGACCCCCTTTGGTCTGGCAGCCAAGCACATACCTGGCAGGGGCCTCGGTAAGACAGGCTTTTTCCTCTTTGGTACAAAGTGCAGAGATTGCTGTGCTCCACGTGCTCTGTGTCACACACAGGGTCGCGGACCTGCTCACAGGCGAGCTGTCGGTGCACACACTCATACTGGCTACATCCAAATTTATCAAAGGTCGTCAGGCAAACCTGTGGTTTTGGCACACATCTGAAAAATAATGAAAGCCAGCAGGTGAACCAGAAGCATGGAGGGACTGTGGTGGGGGCAGCAAAGCCCTGGATGTGGGTGGCCCTGAAAAGCAGGAGAGAGACAGGGTTAATGGAGCCTAGGAAAAGGAGGACAGTGAGAACAGAAAATGGCAGACACGCTCCTCAGGGGGAATGAATGGCTGAGTGGTGAGCCCAGGCGACACATGGAAAAGGGTGTTCTAACTGGAGCCTGGTAGGGAAGGGGAGACAAGCAGGCTAGGCTGAGGGAACAGCCACAAACACGAGGTGGGTTCCAGGACGTGCAGCGGGGGAGGGGTGGCAAACAGAGGGGAAAGACCGAGGACTCATGCATGGAGTACAAGTGCCCGATGTGAGACCAACAGTGAGTGGAGTCCAACACTAAGGTCACAGTCAATAACAACGGATCACTTCCAGATGTTTCATTTATCAAGGCAAAGTCTCACTTAAACAGCCCTCCTGGCCTGAAACTTAATATACAGACCAGGCTGGCCTTGAACTCACAAAGATCTGCCTGCCTCCTGAATGTGGGATTAAAGGTGTAGGACAGCCAGGAGGTGGTGTTGCATGCCTTTAATCCCAGTACTCGGGAGGCAGAGGCAGGCCAATCTCTGTGAGTTCAAGGCCAGCCTGGTCTACAGAGTGAGTTCCAGGACAGGCTCTAAAGCTACACAGAGAAACTCTGTCTTGAAAAACAACAATAAAAAAAAGGTGTAGGACACCATGCCTGGCTAGGTACTTAATTTTTAGCTTGATTAACCGGAGTCTATCTTAAGCAAGCTTCACTTTTTATAATAAAAAATTCAAGTTCCTGTGCCTACTAGATGGGAGCATTGATGTAGGGGGCTTATGGAATATGAGGATGCCACAGAAGCAAGTCCTTTCTAGCAACGACACCTCACAAGGAAGGAATGAGAACCAAGGGTATTGGAGAAAACTTGGTAATCTAGGGAGAAAAAAACTGATCAAGTTGAGTAAATAGAAATGGGAGGGTTGGACTGATGGGGTGCTCAGGGGGCAAAAGCATATGCTGCACAAGCCTGATGGCCTGAGTTTGATCCCAGAGCCCACAAAAGAGCCAGCACACACCTGTAGTCCTCCTACAGACAGACAGATGGAGGTGTGTCAGCACACACCTGTAGTCCTCCTATAGACAGACAGATGGAGGTGTGTCAGCACACACCTGCAGTCCAGCCCCCACAGACAGATGGGAGGCAGAGACAGGAGGCTTTCCCAGAGCACCTGAAGTTCACAACACAGTGGCAGAAGCAATGAGAGAGATCTTGCTTCAAACAAGATAGAACAAAAAAACCAACTCCTGAAAGTCGTCCTGTGGCATGCGTGCCTATACTCACAAGCACACATATATACACATATCATATACATATACGATACACACACACACACACACACACACACACACACACACACACACACACACGCAAGAATTTTCTTAAGCAAAGGAAATAAGAGGATCACAGGGAAAAGCTGACACTCTGGAGGGCAAATTTAAGTAAAATGATCAAAGTAGTGATAGTCTTGTTTCTTATTATATCCTAATATTTAGAAAAATGTCTGGTATATCAGTAGATATTTGAGGGAATAGAACCTTTTCTTAAAGAAACAAAAAACCAAAAACCAAAAAAATCCAAAATCCAAAATTACTGCTTTGAACAGATAACACAAACCCATGGATAACATGAAAATGTGCAAGAGAAAATGAAAAGGTAATGGCATATTGTGCAGGTAAGTCTCCTCCTCCCACACCTCATGTCCCAGCACCGCCCGTCCCTTTTCCTGGAGGCAGCCATTTTGACCTATGCCTCCCTTATTCTTCTAGAGAGATTTCACCAAGGTAAGAACCTTCGCAGGTACTGGTCCAAAGGGAGGGGACTTTTTCCTTTTTTTTTTTTTTGGTGCTGGGATTTGAACCTAACTCGTGTTAGGCAAGGACCCTACCACTGAGCTACATGCTCAGCTCAGGTTTGTGCATTGAAAACTGGGCAGTGGTGGTGCACGCCTTTGATTACAGCACTTGGGAGGCAGAGGCAGGTGGATCTCTGTGAGTTCGAGGCCAGCCTGGGCTACAGAGTGAGTTCGAGGACAGGCGCAAAGCTACACAGAGAAACCCTGTCTCGAAACGCTCCCCCCCCCCCAAAAAAAAAGGAAGAAGAAAAGAAAACTGTCTCAGAGGCTGAAGAGCTGGCTCAGTGATTGAGAGACATCTCTTCAGAGGAGCCTGGTTCAGTCCCAGCACCCCACATGGCAGCTCACAACTGCCTGGAACTCCAGTTCCTGATCTGATACCCTCCTCTGGCACCTGAGGGCACTGTATGCACATGGTACATAGACATTCATGTAGGCAAAACACTCACCCACATAAAATTTTCAAATAACAACAAAACAGCTTTGGGCCGAATTGCCCCCCAGAGAGGATGTGCTAACCCTCTTCCAGCCCCTTGTATGTGACAGCATCTGTTTCCTAAATTTATGTTAGCAACTTTTGGTCTTTGCCAATCCAGTAGATGCAAAGTGGCACACAATTCCAGTTTTAATTTAATTTACATTTCTGGCAATATGAGGAAGATTAAAAGTTGGTGCTAACTGGCTGTATGCTCATAGAATTCACTTAGTCTTCCCTAGATTATGTAGCTAGCTTGTATTCTTTGGTCTCCCTGGCAGCTGGCTGAGGCCAAGCAACTGAGCTCTAGACAGTGGGATGGATGTGGCTGGCAGCAATCATGATGAGGGCGCCTCTTCAGGTGGCTCAGGAAGGCTTCCCAAGAACACCCTCCACCACCTCCCTCCTCGTATCTGCTAGCCAGAAACAGGGTATATAAAGCTTTACGGAGTTGCAGAGATGGCCGTCACTATCAGAGGATCCCAAGTCTCTAAGGAATGGCTACTGGGGGCAACCTGCTGAACACCCCAACGGACTTCATTTCACCTTCTACTATATGAAAGAACTGAATTTCGGTGGTTTGCATACAATAGCTATAACTTAAACTTTAATAAAGTTTACTTAATTAAACTTTATTTAATTTACTTAAACTTTAATAAAGAAACACATTCCCATCCCCAGTTTGAAACCAGGAAGAAAAAAAAAGAAAGAAAGAAAGAAACACATTTCCCCTGTCTTAGGGTTTCTACTGCTGTTAAGAGACACCATGACCATGACATCTCTTACAAAGGAAAACATTCAAAAAAATAATAAAGGAAAACATTCCACTGGGGCAGGCTTACAGTTCAGAGGTTTAGTCCATTATCATCATGGTGGGACATGGCAGCATGCAGGCAGGTGACAGAGAAGGAGCTGAGAGTTCTACATCTTGATCGCAAGCAGTAGAGAGGGAACTGTGAACTGGGTGTAGCTTGAGCATAGATGAGACCTCAAAGCCTACCCCTGCAGTGACACACGTCCTCCAACAAGGCCACACCTACTCCAACAAGGCCACACCTCCTAACAGTGCCACTCCCTATGGGCCAAACATTCAAACGCATGAGTCTATGGGACCATTCCTATTCAAACCACCAAGCCCTAAATGTTCAAGAACCACTTCTATCTTTTTCCAGGTTTATTTCCTTGACCCATTTTTTCCTATGAAGCTGTTATTGCTCACCAGTTTCACAGTAAGATGATATTCTTCACACTGATTTGTCAGGGCTTTCTCTGTGATATTCTTCCCAATTTGTCATTTGTTACCACGCCCTCCCCCCCAAAATGTGGTTTTCATGTAGCTGAATTTTTCAAATTTTTCTTTTTTTTTTTTTTTGGTTTTTTTTTTTTGAGACAGGGTTTCTCTGTGTAGCTTTGCGCCTTTCCTGGATCTCACTCTGTAGCCCAGGCTGGCCTCGAACTCACAGAGATCCGACTGGCTCTGCCTCCCGAGTGCTGGGATTAAAGGCATGCGCCACCACCGCCCGGCTCAAATTTTTCTTTTATATTGGCAATCTATCCAGAAAGGCCTCTCTACTTTGGAGATGTAGCAAGACCACTTTATTCAGGATATCAGCTGGTAAACTCTGGATTTTGTTTCTGTTGTCTGGGTGTGATGCTGGCTTTACTGCCAACCTGACACAATCAGGAATCCCCCGGAAGAGGAATGACCTAGATCATGCTGGCCTGTGGTCATGTCTGCGGAGACTGTCGTAACTGTTGTTACGGTGGAAAGGCCAGCCCCGAGTGTGGGCAGCACCATGTCACCGCCTGAGCAATGTATGGAGCTAAGGAGCAGCAAGCGGGCAGTGCAGATGGTTATTCCTTTCGCTCTGGCCTGCCCGCTTTCCCTGCAGGAACGGACTGTAACCTGGAACTCTGAGCCAAATGAACCCTTTTCTTCTCAGTCTCTTTTGTGTTCAGGGTGCTTCATCACAGCAACAGCAGTGAAACCAGAACACGGACCTTCAACAGACATGTGGCTGACTCTTGGCCACTTCACTAATCAGCAAATCTCCCCTTACACTGTGCCAGTTTTCAAGACGAAGAAACAATTTCCTGCACAAACGCCTTCATCAGGAGCGAGCTGTGACTCTGGGACACGGCTTGCTCAAGTCTCAGAGGTGAACACTCCAGGTCCAGCCACACTTGCTTGGGGACCACCACATGCACTGCGGCATCATCAAGGCCAGGTCACTGTCATCTGGCTTGGTGAGACTACAGAGGAGGGAGTCCAGATCTTATCAAGTAACACTAAAGCTGCACTTGGTGAGATTTCTCATGTCTAATTCCTACAATGACTGCTCGAGTAGAAGAGGCCATGACGCTAATAAGAATGCATCCACGTCTCTCAGCTCTCTTGCTACCTGCCGTACCTTACTCTGTTTCAGCATTATAGAAGCCCTGCAGCTCCCAGCATACATTTCTGTTGCCATCTGCCGTCACCACACCAGCTTTCCTTCCTAGCCCCCACCCCTGCTGGTCCCAGATCCAGCTGAGTGTCATGTCCAGCACCTCTGAGGCCCTTCCCTCCCCAGCTGCATCAATTGCTCTCGATCCGCACTCCTAATCGCGCAGCCAGGGAGCTCTATGCAACTCTTTCTCTCCGGACTCCACACTAGTCAGGACAGAGATAGAGTTTTCTTGAGACATCTCAGCACGCAGCACAGTATGACCATGAACCAGAATCCTCCAGCTTCAGTGCCCCAAGTGCTGGGATTACAGACATGCGCCAGACTACTGCATCCACCTTTGTATTCTCATCCTGTGGTGCAGGCCAGCAGAGACTTTATAAGCACTAGTCTTTGGCTGAATAAATAAGTAGCACTGAACTTACCTTTGGCTTTTTGGGCAGAGGTTAGGATTGCAGGGATCTTTGGAGACACAAGGTCCAAACTCAAACTGATGGTCTTGGAGACCCACACAGCGGGCAATGCAGGCACTGGGGTAGGTGCGTCCATTCTGTGCACACACAGGGACAAACTGATCTGCACAGTTACAGGGCAGACCTGAAGGGAGGAAACAGCCTCAAATGAAAACATACATTCCCTTCCATGTCCTGATGAAGACAAACCACTAACAAATCATGTTAAAATCATGTTAAAATGGAACTGTATAGTAACTAAGGAAAAGACAAAAACAAAAACAATACAAACCACAATCCCTGACATGGATTTTTATTTTATTTATTTATATATTTTAAAGACAGGGTCTTACCATGTAGCCTTGGCTGACCTGGAACTTGCTATGTAGACCAGACTGGCCTTGAACCCAGACATCCACCTGCCCCTGCCTTCCCAGTGCTGGGGTCTAAGGTGTATGCCACCATGTCTGGTTCCGGATAGAGATTTTAAAGAGAGCAAAGCTTTGAAAAGTTCTCTCTCTCTGCAAGATGGCATTCCTTTGTCCTTTTCACGGCTACTTACTGGGAGTCTCCAGACACTGACCCACATAGAAAGAGGCTATAGGCAAGAATAAAAAAACTCACTGTCCTGATCTGCCACATCACATTTGGAAATCAGGTAACTGAAGTCTAGCTTGGGGATTTCCTGAATGTTAAAAGATAATACCAAAACAACACAAACTTTTGTGACTGTTTCTCTCCAAGTCATGTTTGGACTGGGACACTAAGTCACAAAAAATATGGTACAGTTTTGGGCCAGTGGAATCCCTTAGATTGTGCCAGCTAAACTGGAATTGTCTTAATTTACTGCAGAATGGCAGGGAGCACACACCCTAGGAAACATAGGTCCATGTAGAAGAAGCATTTTTAGATGTTATTTATAAATACATAAATTTACAAATGACTTCTTTCGAAGTCCTTAGGCCTCTTCACTGCCCACATCCTCTGTGGCGTCTCTAAACAGAGGGACTGGCCCTGTCAGAAGACAGCAGACACACGGGACCCGTCCAGTGCTGCCGACAGGGCTGGAGGAGTGAGGCAGCCCCAGGCTCATGGCACTGGGGGAGGGCGCTGCATGTCTACTTCTGTTACCCCACTGTTCTGCAGGGCTTAAGTTAGTAAGTCCTCTTCTTGTCCTTCACCCCACAGTGTTCTGTCAACCTCAGGGAAGGAATCAAGTTGCCACTGCATTGGTGAGAATGGGGACAAGCAGAGCTACCTAAAACCCATGCCATTTTCCTGGGAACCAAGGTTATTTCAGTTCTGGGGAAGGGCAGACACTGAGAGACACCATCGGACAGTGCCGTTAGCACCAGCAACCGCAGCTTTGCAGGAGAAAAGGTCCCGTCACCTCACCAGGGTTTGCACCTGTAGGTGCCGGTGTCCGCAGGACACTCCATCCTCAAGTCTGTGAAGTCAAGAAAGCAGTACTGGTTTTGTTTGTGGGAGCCTGTGCGATCAGTGGATGAGGAAGGCTGAGAAAGAACCTGATGAGAAACAAGCCTAGAAGTACACAGACACCCTAAACTACCTCAGGAGGCTGCACATGGCTTCCTCTGCAGACAGAAGCGGAGAGCCAGAGGAAGCCATCTTGCTCTCAGATTTGATACTGACGTTACTATGTATACACTTGCAGTTAGGGCAATTCCTACCCTGCCTACAAGAGCATGTGAGGGCAAGGAATGACTGCCCCTGGAGGAGGGGCTCTGGATGCCCTTGGCTACCTGTGAAGGTGCGATGGTCATCGTCCGAACTGTGCTCGCTGAGGCAGAGGCGGGTGGAACACACTAAATTGCCAGCAAAACAAGAACAGACGTTGCAGTCAATATTGAAGGATGTTCCATGACCTGAAAGAAAGAAAACCCCAATTTTTTTTGTTTTGTTTTTGTTTGTTTGTTTTTCTAGACAGGGTTTCTCTGTGTAGCTTTGGAGCCTGTCCTGGATCTCACTCTGTAGCCCAGGCTGGCCTTGAACTCACAGAGATCTGCCTGCTCTGCCTCCCGAGAGCTGGGATTAAAGGTGTGCGCCACCTCCGCCCGGCGAAAACCCCAATTATATTATGTACTAAGAAATAGACTAGAGCAATGTGAGATGGCTCTGTGGGTAAAGATGCTTGCTGACAAGCCTGAATCCAATCCTCAGGACCTACATGATGGAAGGAGAGGACTCATTCCCCAGCTTGTTCTCTGACATCCACAGATATGCTGTGGCACAGACACACACACACGCACACACACACACACACACACACACACACACACACACACACACTAAAAAACAACATAAATTTGTTTGAGAGTATAAAAAATTTAAAGTCTATTACCACTGTGTGTGCACGCACATGTGTAGGGGGCACGTGTGTGTCACAGTGTGGATGTGCATGTCAGAGAATAACTTTCCCAGTTGGTTCCTGCCTCCCCAGCACCGGGATCACACGTGTGCACCACCATGCCCAGCATTTTTACGTGGGTCATAGGGAATCAAACTTAGGTTGTCTCAAAGCGCTCTACCAAGTGAACCATCCCTCAAGTCCCTCCAAAAAGTTTTACATCAATTCTTGAATGGTGACTTCTGAATACATAAACTAGGGACTTAAATCTAAGATGCTTGTTTTGAGACAAGGTCTCACTGTGTAGCCCTGGCTGTCCAGGAGCTTGCTATGTAGACCAGGCTGGCCTCAAACTCAGAGATCTCATATCTAAAAGGCAGCAGTATATTCTCAGAACCTAACTTTATTGTCCCCAGGTCATTCCCTCCCCCAATCCAAGTTTCCATATATATATATGTGTGTGTGTGTGTGTGTGTGTGTGTGTGTGTGTGTGTGTGTGTGTGTATGTATGTATGTATCAGGCTGGCCTGGAGCTCACTCTGTCACCTGGGGTGACACTCAGAGCGATCCTCTCCATCTCCCAAGCACTGGGATTACAGGCAAGAGCCCCAGTGCCTAGCAGTGGCTCTATGAGCATCAGCTGTGAAGTGGGGGTAGGAACCATAACAATAACTACATAAGGAGGAACTCAGATAATTAAAAGAGATAACGCGGGGCAAGACTTGGCTATGCCTGGCACACAGTCAGGGTTTACTGAGGTTAACAAGCAGGCTCTTCTTGGGAGGCTTCCAAGAGGGCTCTTTAGAAGTCCTAGTACTTGCTGGTTGTGGTGGTGCTTGACTGTAATCCCATCACTTAGGAGACAGAGGCCAGAGGATTACTGCAGGTTCAAAGCCAATCTGGGCTATGGAGTGAGCTCCAGGCTAGTCTGGGTTACATAATAAGATCCTGTTTCCAACAAAATACAACACACACACACACACACACACACACACACACACACACACACACACACACAGAGTGTTCTGTATAGTTTGAAAAGTACTGTCCTGGAATATATGGTGTACAGACTGTACTCTTTAGCAAGAACTCATCTAATATTCTTGGTGCAAAGTGAAGACAGACAACCAGTCTCGAACTGTAATGAGACCAAACACGAGTATGCCCAAGACTCACTTTTTCTTTTCCCTCCAACAATACAAGACTTCTGGAGGTCGATACAGTGCATCTCCATACAGTTTTCCAAGAGGCCACTCTGTCCACAGGAACAGATTTTGTAACAACCCACTTCTCCTGCAGAGGACGGCACCTGGATCAGTGTCCCCTGACGGACAATGAAGTCAGACGCCTCCCCCAGTTTGCAACCTGTACAAAAATACAACCGAAACCAAAACAGAACTGATAATGTGGTTCTACGTCATGTTTCACACTACCCACACTTCACAGAAGTCTTCTCGGACTGTGTAGCTATTGAAGAGGTAAGAGGGGGATGCTACGGAGCTGGAGAGATGGCTCGGCGGTTGAGAGCACCGGCTGCTCTGTCAGAGGACCCAGGTTCAATTCCCAGCACCACATGGTGGCTCACACCATTATAACTCCAGGTGACTGGACACCCTATTCTGGCCTCTCTGGGTACTGAGCTCTCATGGTACACACACAGACACAGATAAAACACTCAAGCACATATAAATAAATATTTTTGAAAGATTATGTTATAGAACTTTGACCAAATTAAGGAATTGTTTTTGCTCACTGACCAAAAAAATATATCCTCTCAAATAAAATTCCATGTTCTATGGGTGATTAAGGACTTGTACCCCACAGTTAGCTACAGTTTAGTACAAAATATATTATGAAGCTACATAGCTTTGGCCAAGCACAGCAGTACACACCTGCAATCCCAGAACTCGGAAAGCTGAAAAAGGAGGATGGCTTGGGCTACTATACAGTGAGACCTTATAAAAAAACAAACAGGCAAACAAGCCGGGTGGCGGTGCACACCTTTAATCTCAACACTCGGGAGGCAGAGGCAGGCAGATCTCTGTGAGTTCAAGGCCAGCCTGGTCTACAGAGTGAAGCTAGGACAGGCACCAAAGCTACACAAAGAAACCCTGTCTCGAAAAACAAAAAACAAAAAACAAAACATAAAAAAAACCAAATAAGCAAACAAGGAAAACAGAGCTTTTTATTTCTTTGGGCTAAACATATTTAAAAAATGACAAAATGTTTTAATAAATGAAGTATATAAACTGACTATTTTTAGAGTAATTTTGACCAGGACAATTTTTAGTGATGGAACATAAGCATACAACTATAAATTCAAAGAAAAATTGAGTATCTGGATGGGCTTAAGGGAAACCCATATTCTAGGTAATACATTTTTAATTTATCATAAAATGGGCTTTCTGGCCGGGCGGTGGTGGCACACACCTTTAATCCCAGCACTTGGGAGGCAGAGCCAGGTGAATTTCTGTGAGTTTGAGGCCAGTCTGGTCTACAAAGTGAGTTCCAGGACAGGCTCCAAAGCTACACAAAGAAATCCTGTCTCAAAAAACAAAACAAAACAAGACAAAAAAAAAGGGTGGGGGGGGGCTTTCTAAGTTTAGCAAAGCAATCTGGAACTGTTGCTTGTTACATAGTTTGTAATAGAGAAACCATTGCCACTGTATTCCATTTTCTTGGTAAAGAAAATCCTGGCTAAACTATAAGATAGTGTCAATGGACATAAAACACCACTCTGAGGTTTCAAACAGCCCACCACATCCTTTCAGCTAGACTCATTCCAACTGGTCTGAATGGTAACCGGCACACACTCATGTTATTCAAGCAAACGTCCTTTAGACACCACACTTAGTTCATTTTTTGCTCTTTTTACTTGTAAGATTTTCTAAATGTTGATTCTAACATGATAAACATATTCAACACAGAAACAGATGAAAAAGAATCACAATGTTATTGCAACTATATTCAGAACAAGTGGCAGAGATCAAGACTATCAAAGCTCTATGAACTGCATTTTTCAGGGGCTAAATATGTGACTCGGTGAGTGGACAAGCACATCCCTGTAGCATGCAAGGGCCTCAAGTGGTCCACTAATATGTGATATGAAACAAAATAATTATTTGTATGCATTTCTTATGGTTTTGTTTGTTCAATATTTTTTTTTGTTGTTGTTTTTTGTTTTTTTGAGACAAGGTCTTACTATGTAGCCCTGGCTGTCTTGGAACTCGCTATGTAGCCCAGGCTGGCCTCAAACTCACAGATCCACCTGCTTCTGCCTCCCGAGTGCTGGGATTAAAGGGGTGCACCACCACACCCAGCTATTTGTATGCATTTCAACATAACATTAATCTTCTTATTTTTATAGGGTCTCACATTACTCAGATTGGCCTCAATTCCATTCTGTAGCTGGGGTTAGCCTTGAATTCCTGGAACTTTGGCGTCTACCTCCTAAGCACTGGGATTATAGGAATGCACCTCCACACCTAGGCTGTTTTGTTTTTGTGGTGCTGGGGAATGAGTCCAAGGCTTTCTACATTAGGCAAACACGCTCCTGCAGAGCTACATTCACAAACCACATTAACCTTAGAGAGATGATTAATGTCATGGTGAGCACGACATTCCTCCATGCGCTACAGAGAAGCAAAGAAAACCATGGACAATTGATAGTCTGTTTTTCAAACATTACAGCATGGAAGAGAAGGGACAAAAAGCTGGCTCAGGTTTCTCTTTTCTTCTGTAGTCAAGAACCCTGTAACTTGTATTGACAGCATTAGTTTATAACTGAAATGACACAATGAAAATTCTTTTTTTTTTTTTTTTTTTTTTTTTGGTTTTTCGAGACAGGGTTTCTCTGTGTAGCTTTGCGCCTTTCCTGGATCTCGCTCTGTAGACCAGGCTGGCCTCGAACTCACAAAGATCTGCCTGGCTCTGCCTCCCAAGTGTTGGGATTAAAGGTGTGCGCCACCACCGCCCAGCGAAAATTTTGAATAAAAGAATTTTTGTGGGAAAGGCTCAACATCACAGGACAATAAAGCACAGAGAAGGCCCCTGTCGCCTGGGTCTAGTGACAGCTCCAAAAAGGAAACAGCAGCAGCATGTCCATGTCCACCTCCCACTCCCTGCCCCACCCTTACCTTGAACACAAGCGTACGGAAGGCAGGGCTCTCCAGACGGACACCCTTTTCGGTTTACTTCACAGAGCTCATTGGCTGGGCAAGGATTTGGGTTACAGGGATGAGTCACTTCTTCTACGATGTTACCTAAAGCACTTGGCCCTGAAATACCCAAAACAGATCAGTGTCACCAATCTAAAAGAATACCAAGTCTCCAAGTTATCTGGCTTCATCATGGCTGGAATAAACGGGGAGCTCACAGACATAGAGCGAGGCCCGATTCTGACAAGCCCTAACTAAACACTGGCTTTCCTCATCATTTGTCAGTTTATCACAACACACCCAATCATTTATTTAGTAGCAGGATACCTCTAATACACTTGGAAGACCCTAGGTACTAGGTACAGTAATGGACAAAACAGACAAGCTAACAAGGGGTTAATATCTGCAAGAGATAAGATAAACTCATATAAGTAGTAAGCAGTTCAGAGATGAGACATATTTGGGGTGTGGTGATCAAATACGTATTTATGTGTAAGGCGGATACTTCTGCACTTTAAAGAACAATACATGGCAATCTGTTACAGCAACCAGAACCCCAGAACACAATTCTATCCACCTTCCAAAGTCCTGTCAAGGAGGAATAGCACTTCAAGCACTTGAGATATTTAAGAGCACTGCTATTCAAACTAGAGCATCCTTCAGTGTCCCTCCTGCTCAGTCCTTCTCTTCCTCACAGACCTGACTGCTCTACGCAGCTCGGAGTAGGAACACATCAGTTTGCTTCCTGGATTCTCAGCCCCACGCAGACTGAGACTCAGTAGAGACAGAGCTGCACGTCTCACCCAGCCCCACCACTCAGCACAGGTCTGCTGGGAGCCCAAGAGGCACTCTTTTTTTTTCTTTTTTTTTCCAGAGCTGAGGACTGAACCCAGGGCCTTGTGCTTGCCAGGCAAGAGCTCTACCACTGAGCTAAATCCCCAACCCCCCTCCCCCCAAGAGGCACTCTTCCCAAGGCCACAGAGGTTCCCAACTAGCATGCTCTTTTTTCAATACTGGTCTCTTTATCTTGAGAAAACCTAACAGATACTGCCAGCTAAAAACTCACCACCCTCTCTTCTCTTTTGTTAATAGACCCTTAATTCTATTCAGGGTGGTCACGGGCCTGAAGCTAAAAAGATCGCCTATCCTAGATTTCCATACAATTGTAGGTGTCCCCCCAAGGTGAGGAGGAGTTGCTCCCCCTCTTCCTTCCCATTTGCCAACTAGAGTAAGCTGGGTAAAGTGCCGACCGCCACGGGGAGACGGTAAAGTAGGTGAAGTAGATCTGAGCGGAGTGGAGAACAGCTGCCTAACGGCCTGATTCCTGGTGTTGGTGCCACCATAAACATCCTGGACCACTTGCTTCTGGGCTTTCCTGTGCTTCCATCTGTTCTGTGATTGGCTAAATCATAAGGGGAAAGTAAGCAAGCAGGCTTCTCTGCCGGCAAGCCAGCTTATGGCACTGCTGCCCCCTGGTGGCAGCCCAAATGCTAATTTATCCTAATTCCTAAGTGCACGGCCTCCCTACATAGGTCCCATTGCTGTCCAAGAGCTCCTCCCGGAATCCCTCAGTGAGGTACCAAGATCCTGACACAGTATCTGCCATGAAGAAGCTAAGGTATGAAGCAAATTCCACTTCCCTTTACGAACTCAAGGAATAGCTCTTTCTTCTCTATTGTGTGAATAAGTCCAAGCCGGGCCCAGTTCAGGTCTTGATGACAAAAACTGACAGCTTCCTAGGGGAAACTCCATTTTCTTGTCACATCATGAGAAATAACAACGATTTCTGAGAATGTTGTCTTCCACTTTGATCCTTAGAATTCCTGACTGGTAATAATTCATACTTCCTCCGAAAGATAAAATACAACTTCTGCTTACAAATATTAAGATGACAATGCCAACTTGATGGGATCCAATTCCTTAGGAGACAAAACTCTGGATGCCTGGGTAAGGTTAGACCTGCCCTGTTGGACAGCACAAGCCATTAGCTGGAGCCCTGGGCTGAAGAAGAAGTGAGCTGAGCACCCACCTCTCTGCTTTCCAGCATCAGATGCTCCTGCCTCATACTCGGGCTGCCATGCTGCCCCGTATCCTTGAACTGTGAGCCAAATATACCCTCTTCCCTTAAAATAACTAATGGGGATGGCATCACCAAACAACAGGTTCTCATCCAAGGCAGGGCAAGGGCAGAGACCAGGAGAGAAGCACTTGAACTCGCAGAGGAAACTCACACACTACTTACTGAGGTATGTATCCAGAGGTATACAGTTCTCCAGGTCATCTGCAGGGGACAGAAACTCACAAATACTTTCAGCCGTGTGGTCTTCAGGGAATTTGTTCTGGTCTCCACATTTCCTGAGTATCTCTACACAATCTGATCTTAAAAGAAAAATGCATGCTCATTGTGGGTTCGCGGCCCCGCCTCCAGTTGTCTGCTCACACTGCGTTTCTGAAGCTTCCTTCGCTGGAGAAGTTCCCACCACCTGCCAAGCTCGCCGAGCTGGGCTGGAGTGAGGCTGCTGAACTTCCAGCTGCACAGTAAGTTCAAAGCCTAACTTCCTGTAATCTGAGGTCAAAGGCCTTGTTCAGAATTTAGTTACTGTTCAAGCATGGTGTAGCTTTCACCACCTTCAAGAGGAAACCAAGCTGGGCTAGTCCGCCTAAAAGACCACCCGACTCTTAGGGTCCCGTGTCAGCGGCTTCCTTTCTCGTTTACTATCTTTTTAGTTATCGCCACTACGGTGTTTGGCTTTCAGCAACCAGATAGTTCACAACTTTAAATTTCCTCTTGTTGCTTTTGCAGAGGACATGGGTTCAGTTCCTGGTGATTCAAAACCATCTGTAAACCCAGTTCTAGGGGATCCAATGTCTTCTGGGGTATGTATCCAGAGGTATACAGTTCTGTGAGCACCAGACACGCATGTGGTGCATATACATGTATGTAGGCAAAACATTCATACCCATAAAATAAAAAACCTTTAACATTTTTTCTTTAGTCTTGAATAAAGGTTTGGTTCCTAAGTTGAAGGTTTTTAAGTACATCCTTCCACCTGCAGCCTTTGGCTCGTCATCCCAGAGTTACATCTCATTCTCTCCCTTACTCAGAGGTCATGTCGGGGTCATACTGGAAAACTGATCAGAAGCCAGGCATGACAGATCATGTCTGTAATCCCAGAGCTCAGGAGGCTGAGGCTGGGAAATGCCGTGAGTTCAAGGCCAGCCTGGACTACAGAGTGACACAGTAAGACTCCAAAATCAAAACCAAACCAAGTAAGAAAAAAATACAGCTATCTGGACCCTGTGAATCTGACCTGGGCAGTACCGAGTCACACACGAAGGGTTAGGGCTCAGGGTTGACTTAGTCCTAGAAAAGCTTTGGAAGAGCAGCTGAGCTTCCTGTGGAGCTGGTACTCTGGTTTCCCCAGCAGGCAGTTGTCTTAGATTTCCTAAGGAAACCGTTTCAAGCTGTTTCCCAGGAACAAGCTAATGACTACTGACCAGCTCTCTCACTCATCACGCATTTACAAGATGTCTACTGTGTAGGATAACAATAAAAACAGAACAGGAGCTGCAAAGGAGGGAGAGCAAAGAGGAAACCGCGGCACAGGAAGTCAACTCCTGAGACAAGAACACAGACTACCAAAGAGCCCAGAGAGCCGGGGCAGAGGACAACTTGACCTTGAACCCTGGAAGCGACCACATTCTAACCGAGGTGTACTCATTCATGTTCTCCCTCATTCTCTCTAGATGTAAAAGTGCTTTTAAAGGTATAAAAACGGGCCAGCGAGACGGCTTGTTGGATAAAGGTGTCTGCTGTGAAGGCTGATGACCTGAATTCAATCCCTGGGGTCCACTGAACATTACCTCCCCTCCCCCCAAGTTGTCCTCTGATGTCCGTATGCTCTGTGACAGATGCACAAATGAACACACACCAAATAAATATATGTACTAAAAATGTAAAGTATAAAACATAACTGTGCCTGAAGGTATTTAGAAACTGTTTCTTAAACTAGAATCCGTAATAAAGTACACAAAAAGCTCTATGGGAATTTGCACTATGGATAAGTTAGTGTCAACCAAAGGAATGTGGGAGACTCCACAGGAATGTCTGGTATTTGACAGGAGCCAAGAAGGGCAGGCCTCAGGCAAGAAGACAGGGGAGCGTACTTCAAGCAGAGGAGAAAGTAGGAAAGCATTGCCCTGGGGGAGGGGCACAGGCAAGGGGAGAAAGTTCTAGAGAGGTTCTGCTGGAGCTCAGGGAGGGTCTGAGCCCACACCAAGTTACTAGGACCAGAATGACTTACTTGCAGATAATGCTTCCTCGGGATTTACTATGGCAAGGTTTAATCTGCAGGGAACACGCAATTGCTTTCCACATTTCTGGCTGGCACTTTTTAATATCGAGAACAGGGATGCTGATGAAGGGCATCTTTATGCTTCCTTTCTCCCACAGCTTCATGTCATTCATGGCTCCCTGGTCAGACTGAGCATTACAGCTCCTGAAAAGTTCTGTTGGCCTGGAAAAAAAATCCAGAAGGAATTGAGACAAATTATAGAAGCAATAAGTAAAATCTTGGTAAATTCACACATCAGGAAACATTGATTTTCTTAGAGAGAGAGAGTGAGTAAACCCACCATAGGCTTTGGGCTTCAAGCATTTGAAATTCAACATGGAAACTAGCATCAAGACACTGACTGCTTATTTTAATTTAACACAGGTTCTTATGAAGCAGTTTAAAACTTAAAGGTGCTTTGGACAGGACTAACATTCCCAGACCATCTCATTTTATTTCACAAAATAAATAAGTGTCTTTAAAACTGAGGTATAATAAAAAACCAAAATGTACAGATTATAAATCTGATGTGATTTGCCAAGTGTACAGCTCATAGAAACACATGTAAATCTATAATGGAACATTTCCATCACACCAAACAGTCCCCGAGCGCCCTGTCGAATCACCCCATGGTCTACACTCCTCATACATAGACCATCACAAACTACTTTAGCCTGTTCTAGAATTTCATATAAGTGAACTCATACTCTATTTTGGGGGCCTGGAATAGTCATCAAAATATAATCTTTTTGAGATTTACCCCCATGTTGTTGTATATACAAGTATTTTATTCCTTTTTATTGTTAGATATGCTCTATTAATAAATGTTACTTTTTGTGAAATGCTTTTTTCTGCCCCTTTTAAAAAGTTGAGGGCTGTACCCTAACATCTACCTTGTCTATGACCTACTGGAGCATGTGAAGGGACTGGTCCTGAGGAACGGTACCCACAGGATCTCCATGACTTGGGGTGGCCAAGGGATATCCAACAGGAGTTTCAGAGAGGGTCCAGTGATGATGGTGTATCAGACACCAGAGGCCTTGAACCAGACCAGTAACTCATTGCCATGAACATTTGCTAGTAAAGCAGATAGGACTAAAGGATATACTCCATGACACACAGTAGCTCCCAATGCCACTAAGACAAATGAAGAGGTAGTGGAGAGGCAGGAAAGACGGAGGAGCAGAATGGGTATTTTGCTTGCTTGTTTGTTTGGGTTTGGTTTTAATTTTTTTTGAGAGGGGTGAAGGGCAGATTGGGGAGATTAGGAAATGAGTGGAATTAGGGTGCATGATGTGAAATTCCCAAAGAATCAATAAAGAAATTATGTTAAAAAAAGAAGTTGAGGGCTGGAGAGATGGCTCAATGATGTGAGAACTAGCTGCTCTTCCAGAGAACCCGGGTTCAGTTCCCAGCACCCATGTGGTGGCTCAAAACCATCTGTAACTTCAGATCCAGGCCTCTGAGGGCAGTGCATGTATGTGGTACTCATACAGGTAGGCCACTCATACACATAAAAGAAATCTAAAAAAAAAAAGTTGAAACTTTGATTATTGAGGAGTTGTAAGGGTTCTTCACGCATTACAGACATGTCAGACATATGTAGTAAAGATTTTTTCTGCTAGGTTATGGTTTTTTTCTTTAGTGTCTGGTAGTACTAATGAGGAAAAATTAAGTACTGAAATTTATATAAAACACTATTTTAAAGCCAGGCATGATGGTGCATCCCTGTAATTCCTATACTTGGGAGGTAGAGGCAAGAGGATGAGGAGTTCAAGGCCAGACTTAGATATATAGCTAGTTTGAGGCCCTCCGGGGCTATATGAGACTTTGTCTCAAACAAATAAAAAAGCAACAAAAATTTGCTTGAGTTTAATCCTACGCATTATAATGTATAAACTGGGCATTTAGTTCAGCAACGTTTGAAGACTGTGCCCAGTTATGTAATTAAAAACCCTACACAAGTTGGGTGTGGTTGGTTGGTATACACCTCTAATCCCAGCGCTCAGGCTCTGTGAGTTTGAAGCCAGCCTGATCTACAAAGTGAGTTCTGGGACAGCCAGGGCTACATAGTGAGACTGTTTCAAAAACAAACAGTGCCCCCAAAACCAAAACAAGAACCATGTACAATACAGGACATTTCCATCATGCTGAAGTTCCCTGGTGCCTCTGTTTTTCTGGTCCTTATCCCCACACCCTACTTTTGCTTATTCTTAGACTTCATGCATCTGGAAGCACAGAGAGCATTGGGCTTCCTTAGCTGAATGTAAGCCCATTCATATTTGAGTGTTTTAGGAGTCTGCCTTCCTGCCAGGTGTGGTGGCACATGCCTTTAATCCCAGCACTTGGGAGGCAGAGGCAGGAGGATCTCTGTGAATTTGAGGTCAGCCTGGTCTACAAAGTGAGTTCCAGGACAAACTCCAAAGCTTCACAGAGAAATCCTGTTTCAAAAACCAAAACCAAAACCAAAACCAAAAAAAGGAGTTTGCCTTCCTTCTGTATACTACTCCACTGTTTGGAACACCACAGTATGTTACTATTATTTTTTTCATTCTCCTGATGAATGTTTTGGGGTCATCTCCCAGTATGGGAGATTACAAATAACGCTGGCACACAGAGACTTTCTTGGGCATATGCTTTCATGTCTTTTGGGTGAATAAATGCTTCAGAATAGAGTTGACAGATCACAGATTTAATCCAAATTACTTACCTAGCATGAAAGAGTGAGAATCCCACACACTTCACACGTTTACCAGTCTTTTAATCTAGCCATTCTAGTAGGTCTCAGGAGGCATTCACAGAAGTTTTAATTCATACTTAGCAGGACTAACCTTTTCATATACATTCTTTTTTAAAAGCACTTTTAACTGCTAACTCTATGGCATGCATTATGATGTTTTGAAATGTGTATATATTGTGGAGTTGCTAAATCAAACTAACTAATACATATTAGCATAAATACTTTGTCTTGTTTTTGTGGTAAACACATCAAATCTATTCTCTTAGCAATTTCACATATGTGATATACTTATTAACTAGAATCATCATTCTTTTTTGTTGCTGTTTTTTTGAGACAGAGTCTCACTATGCAGCTCTGTCTGTCCTGGAACTCACTCTGTAGACCATCAGCCTCTGCTCAGTGAGTCACTTGCTTAATTTAAAGATATTTCTTTACAAAACAATTCATATCAGAGTATCCTGTGGTATCAAGGACAGTAAGGGGAAAGGGGGCCAAGATCTGAGCCTGGAACATATCCACATAGTCCAGTGATCTGTTCTGTGGTCAACTGTTTCCACCAGTCAGAAGGGAGAAGGACTGAAGGCACCTGACACTCTCTGAATTCCAGAGGTTTGAGGCATCTCTAGGTTAGAAGAGACTCTGCAATCATACTTCCTTTCTAGGGGCCATGGAGAAGGGACAGAGCACTTCAAGATGAAATAATAAGGAAATACAGCTGTATTTACCCCAGAAGGGCACATCAGAAAGTGGTATTTACTTAAGACAAGTAAGTTCATGATAGTGTATTTCCATCTTCATACATAATATTTTTTCCTACCTGTTGTTAAAGTTTGTACAGTAAGTAAGGTTTCTACAGCCCAACTGGCAAGGTTCCCGGACGTCGGCTAGACATGTCAACATGGACACCTCCACCGGATTATATTCACAGACACGGTCAAACTCTTGCCAACTCTGAGTATTTCCCCAGCTCATGCTATAAAGTTTCATGCACAGTTCCCTGAAAAAAAGAATAAATGCAGAACATTAGAGAAGCCTGATGAGTATCTGATCTGTGCAAAATTCCAACTCTATTAACTCTCTTTAGGAACATAAAGAAAAAAGTACAATTAACTAGCTCTTGGAATTTGGAGCCAGAAAAGGTAATCTCCATGAAAAATGACCTTTTGAAAATCATGCATGGGTGGCTGGAGCAGTGGCTCATCAATTAAGAGCTCTTCCAGAGGACCCAGATTGATTCCTAGCACCCACGTGGCAGCTCATAACTGTCTGTAGCTCTAATTCCAGGGGACCCAACACACTCCTCTGGCCTCTGAGGGCGTCAGGCTGCATGTGATTCACACACATACATGCAGGTGAAACAGCCATACAAATAAAAATACAATACAGTGTGTACATTAGGAAAACATCATCCACGGGACAGAACGGACTTAGAGATGGCTTAGTGGGAAAAGGAGCTCACCACACAAGCCTGGTGACCTGAGTTTGACCCCCAAACCCCCAGAAAGGTGGAAGAAGAGAATGAACTACGAAGTTGTCCTCTGACCTCCACACATACTCTGTGGCATGTGTGTCCACTCCACCCACGCCAGTAATAAATACATTTCAATAAATAAATAATTTTCAAAAAATTGAAAATCCAACCCCCCCTGCCATGACTGATAGAAAGCTAAATACTACAATTTATAGTCCTTTAAGGTGTTTTGTATATCCCTAGTTCCAGTACAATTATTTTCTCTCATGTCTTTCTTATCTTACTTTTTTTTTTAAATATTTACTTAAAGTAAAGCACATGGTATAATCTCCCCTAGTTATGCTAGCCATAGGAGCATTTTAAAGAAATATTTTAATGGTAAGGGATTTAACACTGAGTGCCCAGGATACTCAAGATCCTACTTCACTCCCTAGAACCAGGAAATGTGGGGGTGGAGACACAGATTAAAGTTTGTTTAAACCACTTACATTCCTTAAGATCCTCAAAATCTCTACATGCTATTGTAGTTGATACGAGACATTCTGATTTTCAGGATTTGATGACTGCAAAGCAACTTAATTTGTTTCTACAGATAAAGCAATACTGGTAGGTCATTTCCAAAGTGATTTTATACATTGGATTCATTAGTTTAATTTTTATAAAAGTAATACATGTTCACTATAAAAATTGGGTATCACTGAAATACACAAAATTGTAATTATTTCCCACTGTCCTCACAGTTATCTGACTCTCATAAATACCCCTATATGAAGATTTTTGTGGGTTCTTTTCTTTTTTTCTTTTTTTCTTTTTTTGTTTTATTTTGTTTTTTTGAGACAGGGTTTCTCTGTGTAGTTTTGGTGCCTGTCCTGGATCTCACTCTGTAGACCAGGCTGGCCTCAAACTCACAGAGATTCACCTGGCTCTGCCTCCTGAGTGCTGGGATTAAAGGCATGTGCCACCACCACCCGGTGTGGGTTTTTTTCAATGTGTATAAATGTTTGTCTGCGTGTGTTTGTGCACTATGTGTGTGCTTGGTACCAACGGAGGTCAGAAAAGCACATCAGATCTGCTGAAACTGGGATTATAGACAGTTGTGAGCTGCCACATGGGTCCTGGGGATTGAACCTAGGTCCTCTGGAAGAGTAGTCAGTGCTCTTAACCACTGAGCCATCTCAACCATCCCCAAAGAAGGGCTCTTTCCTCTGCAGTCCGTTTGCCCACTCTCCCTGTGTTCATGAATGCTGTTTTATGTGCGTGCTTGTTCAAGGCATTGCCAATGCAGTATCATTAAACAGACCAGACCCTGGCTCACGAGGGAGTCTACACATTTTGAGGAGGAGGAGGAGGACGTAACCAGTACTTTCTCCACCCTTTAACTTCCTATATTTGCCATGAATATTATGAATATCTAACATTTCAGAGTTAGTTTCTAACATTTAAAACAGAAATTATACAAATTTCTCCAATTATCTCATAAGGTTTCAGAAAGATCAAGTCTGATGAAATGAAAGTGTTCAGCAAACCATAACCCCCTATTCCTGAGTTGTTAAGATGGTCCAGCAGGTGAAAGGGATTGTTGCCAAGCCTGCCAATCCCTGGGACCCACATGGCAGAAGGAGAGAACTGCCCCTCAAGTTGGCCTTTGACCTCCACATGAACCACAGCAGACCCTAAATTATAGACAGGTGTCACTAGGACTAATTTGTGCTGTATCTGAGAGCTTTGTGCACACGAGGGAAGCGCTCTACCACCTGAGTTACACTCCCCATCCTAAGATTCTGTGATTTAATAGACTATCTCTTAGATACCAGCTCAGAACACATTCTTCTAAATAATTACTTACATGTATAAGTATGTGTCTGCACACGTGAGTAGAGTGCATACAGAGGCCAGAAGAGGGCACTGGATTCCCCGTAGCTAGAGTTACAAGCAGGTATGAGGCACCCGATGTGTGTGCTGAGAACAGTAGCAAGTAAGTACTCTTAACCACTGAGCCATCTCTCCAGGCCCAACACACTGTAAGCTTACTAATATTGCATCATCTTAAATATTTATTGCCCTTTCAATGGCTAATCTTTCATACCCCCAAATACAATGCTTTTAGCACTCAATGTTTAAAACAGGACTTGTTTTATCAAAAAAAAATTTAAGGGGCTGAACTCTAGTTCCATGGGATCCTATGATCTCTTCTGACCTCTGTGGGCACCAGGCACATATGTGGTACACATGCATACATTCGAGGAAGACGCACACACATATAAACAATTTTAAATTACATTATTTGTGTGTGTGCACGTACATTCACGCATGGGTAGCAGTGAGAGAACAACTTGAGTCTTTTTTTCCTTCCACCATATGGATCCTGAGAATAAAATTCAGATCATTTAATTAATTAATCAGGTGTGGTAGCAGGTGTCTTTACCTGCTAAGTGATCTAGCTGGCCCTAAAATACTGTATTGATTTAAATAGTCTTCAGTAAATATTTGCTGAATAAAATAATACTAACGAAAGGTTTGGGGCTGGTGAATGGCTTAGTGGTGAAGAGGCGTACTGTTCCTGCAGGGTACCCAGTTCAGTTCCCAGACCTGCGGGGCAACTTGCAATTGTCTGTAACTCCAGCTACAGGGGATCTGGTGCCCTCTCTGGCTCTGGGGGCACCACTCATGCACCCATGTACAGATGTGCAGATAAAACATTGACACATAAAATAAATAAATTTTTTAACTTTAAAAAAGAATTAAAGATTTTATATCTTCTATTTATCTGTTGTACTGAGAATTGAACCTATGGCTTTGTACCTGCTAAGCCCTCCACCACAGAGCTAGAGTCCCCAGGTCAGATTTTATATCTCCCAAATGCTAAGCCCAGACAACACAAGAATAACACATTTGCTAAAGATCACCAATTCAAATCCTGTTTTCTCTTGATTGTAATAAAGGGATATGAGATACTAACCTACATGTTGAAGTGTTTGCTTTAGAGCAACAATGCAATTTCGCCCCGTCAAGGCCAGTCGAGGGAGGAGGATGCACTGTGACCCCAGGGTGAACTGACTGCGAGCTTTCGAGAAAACACTGCCAAAGAGGGTCTTGAGGCAATGGCTGGGTCTTACAACCCTCGATGAGACCATCAACAATCTCCATTTCTGTTTTCTTAGACATGAGAATCCTCTTGCAGGCGTTTTGGCAAGCGTGGTCTTCAGCTCTGTCACAGCAATATAAACCTGTGTTCAGGATATAAGCCCTTTATTAGCTGGTTTCACAACAACCACTGCTCGGAAGAGACCATGGCGCCAAGTGGACAATGACTGCTCTCTGCACGTCTCTGCAGTATACAGGGCCTGCTCGGCTCACTCCATCATTCTGCAGTGCAAACCCTTCCCAGAATTCACCACAGTCCCGACACGAGCTTTTGAGAACTATCCTTCCAAAATGAAAGTCATCCCACACCTAAGAAGGCCTCGTGTAAACCACTTTATGTTCTTGGAAAAGATACTAAAATCAAAGTGGGCTCATTTCCTGCTTGTGTTTAGTAGGAACTGTGCTATTTACATAAGACTGATGACTGATTTCTAGTGTTAAAACATTCCACTTATCATACCTCAAGACATCACAGACTTTTCTAAGTCTGTAGAAGCTAATTAATATATGTTGTAATTTAAATAATATGAACTCTGACAATATCTTGGTTTATTTCTACCTTTAATCTTTTCTTTTTTGATGATAGGGATTGAACCAGGGCCTCAAACATGCTAATGGGCCATGATTTGCCTGTGAACTATGTCCCCATTCACCCAGCCTTTAATTTTCTACAAAGAACTAGAAACTGAAAGAATACTTTCAGTCAGGCTATAGACTTGAGAAGGGTTCTCTCGGTGTCTGCATTTGAAGAAGCATACTCAATTTGTAGCCTTCTTTTCTAGATTCCTGTGTAAGGACACACATTGGGGGTTACTGTTCCACCTCTTTTTGCCTTTTTTTTTTTTTTTTTTTGTTTTTAAGCTTCTATTTCCTCACTACCAGTAACACTTCGGTGCAGCCTAAACGTCGGAAAACACAAATCTGCTTAAAAACAAATGAAGGCCACATCTCTGATCTTCACCACATTACCACATCACAGAATGCCAAAAGCCTTGGATTCTGATTTCAATTATGGCCAAACAAGGCACACTGCTTTCAAGATTCTAAGAGTCTTACAATATTCCAGTATAAAGCAAGACACGAACATCTGGCTTACAAGTCAGTCTCTGTCAGTCAGTTCTTTAAAATCTGACTACCTCTAGAGGAACACAATGGATTCTGGGATAAACAAAGTAGGTGTTTCGAAGATCCCACAAGGACAGGTTTGTTAGGAGGCCTCAATTTTTCAAAAATATTACTCTCTTATTTTATGATTTTTTTTATTATACAAGTAAGAACTTCTCATTGATAAAAGTTCCAGCATTACAGAAATATACAGTGTGGAAAAGTTAAGTATAACTAAGACTATGCTTTCAGTTCTGAAACGTGCTTTGTTTTTTTAACACACCTTGGACTTTCTGTATAAACATACTCCTCTTGTTAGTTGTGAAGTGTTGCTATTGCACAGAAATATAATGTAATGAATAGCCTACTGGTGCATGGTTGGGTCACTCCTAATTTTTTTTCCTATACTACTATGCATATATACACCATATTATTTGTTTGCAAATTTGTGTAAGTTTTCTTGTGTTAATGACAAGATGGAATTTCCAGGTTAAAAGGTCTGATATTCTAATGGTGATGATCTGGCTTCCCATCAAAATATCCATACCAAAGTCCTCTCCCATCTTCAAAACAGAATTTCCTTTTCCTCATGGTCTCCACATTCCCTTCTTTCTTGGTACCTTACAGCTGTGAAAATTATCCAGCTGTACATCCAGTCTGTCAAAATCAACCACCAAAGGGATCTCAGTGTTTCCCAAGTGAACTAGAGCACAGACACCTACATGAACGTATCAGTTTTTGAGTGAATTATTTTATCAAAGACCGAGATGAGAAGAATCCAGCCCTTTTACTTACTATCTGTTGGGTTTCTCATGGGGTAAGACTGGGTGTAATTGTTCACACAGTGTATCAACTGTGGACTAATAGAGGCACAATAATTTTCCACTGCTTTGATCTGAGATGGACCAGGAGAAGAGTCTGTTCGAAAAATGGCTTGACAGAATTCTCGGCAGTTTGTGTGATGACCTGCGTAACTGCAGCACACCGAGCCCACTGTGGAAAAAGAGAGGACACTGAAATTCAGGACACTTCTTGTTAATGTTAACAGCACCACGGTGGTCAACAGTCCACTTTTCTGAATGGGAGAAAGCAAGCCATGCTGCAAAGGATAAACACTTGAGTCAGCACTATTCCAGGCACTCTCATGGGGCCAGTCAAGGGCTCACTGATCTATGACAGTCACAGTTCATGACTTAGACTCTCTAGACCCCTGTGAGGAGCAGTATAGCCTGGAGCAATGCAGAAGCACGTGTCAGTATTTCTGGTTGGAATGACAATTTGGGAGCATACACTGGCATTTAATGAATGTCAGGGCTGCTAATGTCCTCCAAAGCACCTGGAAGTGTCACAGAACCGAAGCTGCCTCCCAGAATGTCCAGAGTGCCCATGCTGAGAGCATGGGACAGCCTCTTTCCACACTGCACTTGTAGAGATTTATAGACAGAGCAAAACAACACCAAACAGAATCACAGTGCCCCACATTTATAAAACAGGCCCAGTAAAAACTAAGAGGCAGCAAGATAAGTTAAGTAAAATTAACAAATGTATACTCTGAAACTGAAATCTCAAAATTTCAACAGTTTGAATATTTACAAGAATATTCATATACTGAAGTAGTCTTCATTTCACAATGGATACGATCTGTCTCAAGCACAAGTCAAAGCAAGTTTATCTGAAGGTAACTGACTGCATTTTGTATTTGGAAAATAAGGAAAAGCCAGGTATGGTAACACAGACCTGTCATCACATAGCACTTGGAAATGGGAGGCAGAATAATCACACATTTATTGCCAGCCTGGACTAGATGAGACCTTGTTTCAAAACAAAACCAAAACACAACAACAACAACAAAACCCATGGCCAGGAGTGCTGGTGCACACTTGTAATCCCCAGCACTTGGGAGGCAGAGGCAGGAAGATTTAGAGTTCAAGAACAAGCTGGGCTCCTACATAGGAAGACAAGCACACAAAGAAAACACAATGGGATGCCATTTAACGTGGGGAAGGGAAGGGAGCGGCGGGAGGTGCAGGTGTGGGAATCATAATGGAGAGTGTGGGAGACCCTCACAACATCTAAAGATGTATGTGTAGGGGTGCTAAAGGAGCTGGAGGACATGAGTGGTAGGGAGGTCTACAGAGAGGCAGCTAAGAATTCCTTCGTTATTAGAAATGGCTATGGAGGAGCCAGAAACGGGTGTCAGTCAATTCCACAGACCAATGAACGAAGAATTCAGACAATAATGAGTCACATGCAAATTAACTAAGCAAGGGCTGAATTAACTGATACAGGACACACCTCAGCTTCCTGGCCACGACATTGTTCCACCCCTGCTGTGGACTAGCTTTTGACTTGTAACTACTCTCCAGTTGGTCTACTGCCGAAGAGCTCATGTTCATCGTGGGGAACAAGTGCTTCTCAGCATTGCAGTGTGTGGTGCTGGAGATGATGAGGACCTTAGATATGCCAAGCACACACTCCACCGCAGTGCTGGATCTTCAGCCCCACCAAGTTATGGCTGCATTTATCAGTGTAAAACTGCAATGGTGCTGCTGTGGGAGCTACAGTGCGGGAGGTAAGACAGGACCCAAGGCCTGTCTTCTGAGTCCTCCACTAGCTTGGCTTCCTTGCCGGTGTGGGAGAACCTCAGATTACCTGTCGAAGACTGTATGGTACCTCCCGAACTAGCCCCAGTTTGAAAGGGTAGAAACGCATGGCTGCTTGTTATTCTTTAACACACCACATTTCCAAGCTAATCCAATCAACTGCTTGTTCCTCGGTGGTCTTTCCTCACCTCTGTCGCTCTTGACATTCTTGTCACAGGGTATGCTGCTCCACCAGTCTCCACTGTACACACCCTTCCCCACTTCTCTCCCATCCCTTTGCACACATATCTTATTTACCTTCAAGGCCCAGGTAAGCTATGAACTTCATGAGGTCGCCTCTAACACCCTTGCGATGTGACCCCTGTTTCTCCTGAACTGCTGCATTTTATCAGTGTGCTACTTCATATTCTACACTATTTCCACGTTCTGTGTGTTCTGGTCACGTCCCTACAGATATGTGTCTGTCCCACAACAAGCAAATACTATATAATCATCTTCAGACTGGACTGAGAGGCAGTCCTTAGCAAGGACTTCATCATATACTGTAATGTATTTCACCTCAGAAAGAGATGCTGCTGTTTGGTGTTACCTCCCTCTAGCACATCCACCTACACTGTTGGTTGATACACTTGCAACTGGGACACAGGAATTGCTAGAATACACGCGTGATTTGAACACCCCACAGGCAACTGCCTAGCAGAATCCTGTGCGCATGCTTCTTCAGATGGCTGAGCAGGTGTAATGCCAAGGGTCTGGGCAATCAGTTCTGACTGCTAACCATGTCTGTAAAGTGTCTTGCTCTCTGGACTGCTTGTACAATCATTGACAATATACTTACTTTCATTTCTGCTAATGCAACTGAAAAGAGCATTCTGTAAATTAAAGAAAAACAAACAAATTAACAAACAGAATTTCTAATATTATTCCATTTTAGAATTCTATGGAAATCAGGATATCATACTTTTTAATTCTTTTCTAAGTGCAAGGCTGAAACATAGACACTATGAAATGACTGTCTAGTTAAAAAAGTAACCATCATCTAATGCGTGGTGGGGATCACTCTGAGCTATAAACTGACATTTGACAAGCAAGCAAAGCTCAAGTGAGATGAATTAATGTGTTTAGGTGCATATGTGGAGGGGGTCACAGTGTATTAATTTCAATTTTTTCTTGTAGAATATGAACTATTTTCTAGAAGATAACATAATAAAGGACACTCAGAGACATACATTATTTCCTGTAACCACTATTACTATTATTGGAGTTGGTGTGACCTCAGACATTACCTCTAAATGTTCTTAAATATGACTGTGCAGTGGAACCACCCAAACTTCCCCGCCCACCCTAGATAATAGAAATTTACATTTTACACAAAGTTTCAAAGACAGTTTTCATTTAGTCTTCTTGTGACCAGAATCTTGGAAACTCCCTAGCTTTCTACAGAGCAGAAGCACCCCTCAGGAGAGAAAAGATACTGCACTAGAGCCCAGAAGTTGTCCAAAGCAAGCCTGATATCAGAATCAATGTTTCTAGAAATCTTAGATTGTTGTTCAAAAAGACCCACCCTGTATTAAGCCATTGCTTGAAAAAAGAGAAAATGAAACAAAAACTACTTGTCCCAAGCCATTCAGACAACCAGGCTTATCAGCTATGAGTTAATATCAATCATAACTGGAGAGAAGACTGAAATAAATGAGCATCTGTAAAATATGAGGGAAATCAGATGTACCCTCACTGTCAAATCTAGCTAAGTGACTGAGCTTTAGCTGGGCACCGCGGCACCTGCTTATAATCTCAGCACTTGGGAGACTGAGGCAGGAGGATCTTGAGTTGGAAGCCAGCCTGTGCTACACAGTGAGTTTTGAGAACTTGTCTCAAAAGACCACAGGAGAAGGCCGGGTGTGGTGGTGCACACCTTTAGTCCCAGCACTCAGGAGGCAAAGGCGGAGGCAGGTGAATCTCTCTGAGCTTGAGGCCAGCCTGGTCTACAAAGTGAGTTCCATGATAGCCAGGGCTACACAGAGAAACCCTGTCTCAAAAACAAAACAAAACCGACCTAAACAAACAAACAAAAAACCGAAGGGGGGGGGGTAAACCGCTCCAGAAAAATATGAACAAGTAAAAAAAGACCAGCATTACCAACATTAGAAAGAGCTTCAGAGATTTTCGGGCATGGTGGCCACCGCCTGTGACCAGCACCAGAGGCTCGGGTGCCAGGCTTGTCACTAGTGTCAAGGCAGCTTGAACTAGAGTGACTTTCATGTCAGTCTGGGCTACAGTGAAGGTCATGTTCTAATGGCCAGAAGAAAAAAGTCCCTACATTGCTGGTGACGCTGCATTGCATCCACTTTCTCTACCTAAAAATACCCACATAGGAATACGCCACAGAGGAGTTCTTCATTTCAAGAAAAAGTCAGTTAAAAGGCAAACAAAGCCCGGGCCTCATAGGAAGGAATGCTGAATTCCTCCAGTAGAAGTGATTTCTGCTAGAGCTGGTAGATCACTACAAATAGTGGGAAAGTAAATAAGCTCTCAGTGTTCTTCAACAGTGAGCTTGTTTATGTCTCTTCACCCATGTTCCTGTTTTATTGTGACTTTTCATCTCAGACAACCCTCCACTGGGTTCACCAGCCTCAGGAACATTTATAAAATAAAATGATCAAAATCAACATTGAAAAGTAGTCTGCAGAGAAATAGCTCTCATCGGGGTGATTTTCCCTCCTAGGGAGCACTTGATGCCTGGAGTCATAGTGGGGTGGGGTGGGCATTAATTAGCATCTAGTGAGTAGAGGCCTTAAATGTTGCTAAGTACAGGCCATATGTCCCTGGTCTCTATGGGTCCAGATGGCAATGTCAATCACACCAACTCTCAGGAACTTTGCCTTAAGGCTTAGGAATTTGTTCAAGCTAGATTTTTAAAATTTGACCTTATAAGTAAAAAAAAAAAAATCATCACTTCTAGGTCAGTCTTGTGATCACTTAGCCTAAGAGAAAGGCACTAAAGGAAAGTCTCAAGTATCAGAGATCATCTAATTCAATGTCTTTATTCCCTGCAGCCACAGACTGAGAACAGAAGGGAGAAAGAGCTGAAGAATCCAGTCTTCCCCACATGGCAAACAATGGCATGCAAGCAAGTCTTGCCTGCCACTTGTTTATAAAGCTTTATTGAAGCGCAATCACACCCATTTGCTTATATATCTTACATGGCTCTGTCATGCTATCCATGCGATGATGGCCAAGTTGAGCAGACAAAGACCATATGGTCTGCAAGCCTAAAGTGGACAACCAACTGGCCCTTTGCAGAGAGTTTGCCAACTGCTGAAGAAAAAGAAGTGCAAAGCTGTCTTCCTTGATGACACCTGCAGGGTACAGAATGTTCCCCAAGCAACTATCATTTCTCTTAATGTTCAATGATAGAACTTTCACACATAGGTTTTCCTGAATATGTTGAATGAAAACTTGATATTTTACACAGAAGCACTATTAATGTTAACAAATACTACTTCTACATCTGTACTAATTCTATGGTTTAAAAATATTTTCTGCCTTGGGCTGGAGAGATGGCTCAGTGGCTAAGAGCACTGGCTGCTCTTCAGAGGACCAGGGTTCAATTCCCAACACTGACACAGCAGCTCACAACTGTCTGTAACTCCAGTTCCAGAGGATCTGGCATCCTCACATAGACACACATGCAGGCAAAACACCAATGCACATAAAACAATAGAGTAAATAAAAATAAAAGTAAAATAAAAATATGTTCTGTCACTTTAGTGATGTAGATGAGCTCGTCAGACTTCTGCTACGCCCATTTTGATTTTATAGACTGATCATTTGGCTTTGATAAAAGATTCCTATATTTGTTGTAAGTAATTCTTCATCCTTTCTTCGTCAGGCTGTCCTTGAACTCCCATTCCTCCGGCCTCCAGTTTCCAAGTGCAGGGTTACAGGGTGTGTTACCATGCCTGATTATCAGTAACTCTTTTAGCTTCTTGAGCTATTGTTGATTATTGATAGGACTCAAGACATATGTAGGAGTTATAGCATCAGCTCATAATTACTTCATTTTTTAAAATCATTCTGGTGTCTTAGGTAATCTATTAAGTCTTTTAAAAGTCTGATCGCCATCTGGTGGCAAGAGCAGGAAGTAAGGGTTTACATTAACTAGTGTGGAGTCCTTTCTGAGACCACACCCATGGTACCTCCACTGAATCTTCCATCTTACTTACGAACAGATAAAAACTACAGTGCTACTGAAGTGGGAGTGTACCACCACCTCAGAAACTCAAGGAGCACGTCAGTGTACTAGGACTGACAGGGTGACCATCTCAAAAATAAAACCCACCGAAGAAAGCACTATCACCCAGTACAGGCAACAGCTTGGCTCATGCGGAGTCTTACCTGCTGTGACTACTTTCTCCCTAGGCTGGGCTCCCCTCCAGGTCCCAGTGTGTCTCCAGCAGGTTTCTACAGTGTGCTGCTCACTCACTGTGTTCTAAGTCTATGTGTGTTTCTCTTCTCACACACCAGACCACAAGCTTGGGCAGACAGTGGCTCAATCACTGAGCAAGTTCCTTACACACACTGGTGTGTCAGCTCAGTGTGCATCATCAGGCCAGTGAGAATTAAGTAAATGAATGAGAGACAAAGACAACTGAGAGCTCTGCTCCAGGAACCCAGAGTTCAGGAGGAACTAAGATACACTTAGGAGACAAATCTTTTTTTTTTTTCTTTTAATGGCTTCCAAAGGGAAGTAATACTTTTATTTTTAAATTTTTTTTGTTTTTGTTTTTGAGACAAAAAAAAGGGTCTCTCTACATAGCTCTGGCTGTCTTGGAACTCAGTATGTAGCATCAGGGAGCTTCAAACTCACAGAACGTTGCCCACCATTGCCTCCTGAGTCCACACACACCTGGCAGTAGACAAATCTTTAGGGTTTAATAGCCTGTGATCCATGAGAGGTGTTGAGAAAGAGAAAAGGGTAGGCAAGATCTGTTGGCTCTTGGTTACATCTGGGAAGACTGTACTCAGCAACTCAGCAAGAAGTGTAAGAAAGATGACAAGTATCTGTTTCGGAGTGTGTGCATGTGTGTGTATGCACGCGCACATGGGTGTTATTTTGTGGGAGGAAGGAAAGAGAAGGAGAGTAGTGAATACCAGAAAATCAATCATTAATTGGGTTGGTCAGGTGTGGTGGTGCATGTCTTTTAGTGGATCTCTGTTAGTTTGAGGCCAGCATGGTCTACATGGCAAGTTCTAGGGCAGCCAGGGCTACACAGTGAGATCTTATCTCAAAAAGAAAGTTAGCAAAGAAGATTCTGGAACTGTCATTAAATAGGGGTAATTGAAGCTATGGAGCCTGGGCTAGGGAAGTGGCTCGGCGGTAGAGTGTGATACCCTAGGTTCAACTCCCAGTACCACAAACCAAGTAACAACAAACTATGAGAAGACGAGACACTCAGTGGAAGACAATTTAAGACATGACAAGATCACAGGCTAGTGTGACATGACCAGGCCCTTAGGGACACACTTACTCCACTGAGGTATGAACTGGAAAGAAAATGAATCAGTAACAAGGAGACTAAGTAGGAGTTGCTCCCCTCTTGGGGCAATCTAAATGACAGAGCGGAAGGACACACAAGTGCGACCCCAGCAAGTCTTACTACCGTAAGCCAGTACTGCAGGACCTAACAGGTTTCGCTCTTTTTGGAGCTCATCAGCTGCAGGTAACGGCTCAGACCTGATACTTATACCTACGCTGAGATTCACCATTCCTAAAGCTTCCCACCACAGCCTGCTGTTTACTATGCCCCAAGCACTCTTGGCATTTCCTCAGTGTTAACTGACACATATTTTCTATTTAGGTCCTTAAGGC